TTAACATTGTGGCCTTTCTCCCCGCATTTAAAGCAGCAACCGCTGCGATCCTCATTTTTGCAGGTCCGCGCTTGGTGCCCAAAATCTAAACACCTATATGGTCAGTTTGCCGTATCCGTGTCGTGCAAGTGTGCACAGTTTTCATCGCTTCCTACGAATTACCACGTACTCAGCATGTCGATGTCGCATCCATATCGTATCGCATATCGCATCGCATATCGTATCGCTCTAATGTGCACCGTGCCTAACAGTGGCTACACACGACGAACATGTGCGCGCAGATGCTTGGCCTGCGGTGCATGCTCGTCGTTTGTAGCGTGGTTTGCGAGCATCGCATTGGAAACACAAACAACAACCTCATTTTGTGTTGATGCTTGAAGTGTGCACATCGGCGGATAAATGCATCCAAGCCATGTTCGTTAATTGAATTTTTGATAAATGAGGCTAAATTACTAGAAGTATATGTACATATGTACATAACAATAATAATAGATTGGCGTTACACATATGTTAGTGTTTGGCCGAGCCTCTCCTCCGACTTGTGGCGTGCGCCTTGATGTTGTCACACAAAGCGGAGGGACCTACAGTTTTCCGACAGTTTCCGACTCCGAACGGCGATTGTATTTTTATGAGAAGCTGGCAGAAATACACTCGGAGATTTGCCATTGCCTGCCGAAGGACGACCGCTGTTAAGAAAAAACCTTTTTCCATATTTTTTGCGATGTTGCTTTGACCAGAGCTTGAACCCAGGTGTTGATGAGTGAAAGCGCACACTGCTTACCACTACACCACAGCGGCCATACATACAAGTAAAATATAAATAAATTTAAGTAACACATACATAAAAAAGCTAAGTTAAAAGCATTGCAATTGCATCATCCGCGTCTTTACTAATCATCTTTACGCTACCATGACAAAATCACATATGAGCCGATCACCGTCTATGGCAAACGACAGCGAGCATGTTGGCGCACATGTGCGCGCAGATGTTCGTCGTGTGTAGCCAGTGTTAGTGACCATCGGGTCAAGGTGCAGGGATGGTATTTTCAAGGATAGTAGTCGAGAGCTTTAGCTTTAATTGAAGCCTAAGTTGAAGGTTCTATCACCTTCTATCTGCTTCTCAAATATTGCCAGAAAGGAGATTTTTTACACTTTGACCGCGTTTTTCTCAAAATCTGGAGCTGATGGAAACTTTATACTTACGGATTCGTAATCAGCACAAGAAAGTTTATGAAAAAAAGGCTTTTAAATTTGCCACAACAAATTGTTTTCCCATTTTTGCTGGCCTGTGTTATTATTATTCTTAAAAATGTTTTTCTTTTGATCTAATTATTTTATTTTTGAAGACAATTGGCCTTATTCATAAAAAAAAATAAAGTAGTCTTATAAAAGGTTTATAAATTGAAAAATGTATGAAAACGTCAATTTATAAAGCTCTTGAAACCTACTTTATTTTTTATGAATAAGGCCAAATGAGTTTATTTTTATATCGTTTGCATTTTTATAGTTAAAAATTAATGGCCTTATTCATAAAAAATAAAGTAGGTTTTAAGAGCTTTATAAAATGACGTTTTCATAAATTTTTCGGTTTGTAAACCTTTTTTAAAGCTATTTTATTTTTTATGAATAAGGCCATAAATTTTAAAGGTGTTCTTACACGATATGTATTTGCATCTGTAAATGTGACTTTTTCAATACAAATATAATTGCGTATGTCTGTCAAATTCACAGTCTTTATTTAACTATTTAAAAATACGATCTTTGAAAACGAAATAAACTAAACTTAGATAATTCTATCTGTGTGTCAGATGAAAATTGGAACATTTCTATTTCGTATGTACGGGCATATGCTTTGTACAGAAACAAATCTTATTTGCCTTTACACGATATGTTGGCATTTCCATATGTAAAAAGTGGCATGTACACATGCAAAAACATATCGTGTAAGAACACCTTAAGACTTCTAACAGACATGTACCACAAGTCTAACGAAGACTTCTGGTAGGCCTAACAGACATATCGCACACCGTCTTCAAAAGAGTCACATCTCAAAATTTGGCATTTTTGAGATTATGCGCTAAAAATGTACACAGAGCTTTTATTTACCTTTCGGCAAAAGCTGGAGCAAATTTTTGTTATAATTTGTTAAAAAAAAAAAACCTAAGGTAAAGTCGCCCTTGCCTATATGATTATCATGTGCTAAGAAATAGTTTTTCGCATTTTCTGACAAACGTATTATTATGAGTTGTGACTCTTTTGAAGACGGTGTGCGATATACCAGAAGTGAAACTATATTTTTGGTAGGCCTAACAAATATATACCAGAAGTATATCTAAGACTTCTGGTAGGCCTAACAGACATGTACCAGAAGTATAGCTAATGCTGGATTTCCACTAGGCATTAAATGGCAAAAATGACAAATGACAAAGTCGGGCATTAAAAAATAATCATGTTTTACATTAAAAACACAGTCATTAAGTTCATTTCCACATGACATTTTTTTAAATCGCTTAAATTTTTTGTCATTTCAATGCCTAGTGGAAATTCGGCATAAGACTTCTGGCAGGCCTAGCAGACATATACCTGAAGTCTATTTAATATTTCTGGTAGGCCTAACAAACATATACCAGAAGTCAAAAAATTATTTTTGGTAGGCCTAACTGAGTTATACCTGAAATCAATCTAAGACTTCTAAGAAACTCGTGTTTGGAGGCTAACTAATATTTCTATAAAGGAACTAACTAATATATCTGTGAAACTTTCAGTGATTTAACTAGTAGTGTTCTTGCAGGGTAACCAAAAAAAATGCGAAACTTATCTCCCTTACAACGTCGTTGAAAATTTTTCGCGATAAGCTGTTGCGAGTGATCGCGAATGGATTAAAGCTCAGTTAGTCAACGACGTAGCGTAAACGTAGGTTGACGTACGTAGCAGCATATCAAATTTACTGTTGATAAAGAGAGAGAGAAGCAACGCATCGTCACCGCCATGCGGTGGTGAGTTTTCGTTAAAACGCGATTCCCATACGCTACGTCGTTGACTGTGCGCTTTTACTTGCATCGTTTTTCTCATTTATGAGAACTCGATATCGGCAATGCTCGGACTTCCCATATTCGAGTGAGAGGAAATTTCTTTTTTCGGGCAATTAAGATTTTTAATTAATTTAAGAGTTATTCGCAAAAAACACTTGCACTTTACACTTTTCGCCCCATGTTTTGATGAATTTGATGCAAATAAATGGAGTAAATGAAAGTTGTTCTCTGCAAAAGGTGTTCAGCCCCCCTTCTTTGGCAACACAGAAAGGAGAATTCTTCTACCTGAGGGTTATATTCCCTCAGAGATATTTCGTGGATATTTTTTGTTTGACGCTCTGCTCGGAAATTTGCAAAAAAATTCGACATTTTCAACGGACATTATTAATAAATTAAAAATAAAACTTACTATCACCCGTATCAGTAATCCGATCGTAAGTATCAACGGCACTGCCAGCTAAAAGCGCGAAATTCAAAGATTTTAATCAGCTGCTTTGACGGAAACAAATCAAAATCAATATAATCGCAAGCGAATAGTGAAATTAAAGATTTTTTTAGTCGTTATTTTAAAAGAATTTTCCTTAATTAAGTAGAATACAATGGAATCAGTGGCCGGAGCACTTTTGTCTCAGGAGGAAGAACATGCTGCAGCTAACAGTTGCGTTAATATACAAAGGATATTGCTAGTATCTGATCCATTTAGCTTTTGAAAACAAACAAAGACGCATTTAAAAGCGTTTTGCCTTCGGCCGCGCTTAGGGATTATAACCCTCACAACGTAGAATTCTCCTTTCTGTGTTGCCAAAGAAAAGGGGCAGAACACCTTTTTGCGTAGGCGGCCTTCGGCCGCGCTTAAGGATTATAACCCTCACAACGTAGAATTCTCCTATCTGTGTTGCCAAAGAAAAGGGGCAGAACACCTTTTGCAGAGAACACCTTTCTGCGAAGGCGGCCTTCGGCCGCGCTTAGAGATTATAACCCTCAGTACGTAGAATTCTCCTTTCTGTGTGCGAAGAAAAGGAACAGAAATCCCCTTTTCACAAAAGTATATTTCTTGTGCATTATTTGGGTGTTTTTTAAAGTTGAAATACAAATTGTATTAATAGAGTGACAACACCAGTTTTCCTCCATCTCATTTATTATTAACTACCCTACCAGACACGACTAACGCAAACTCCAATACATTCAAACAAAAATTGCTATTTCACCAACACACTCAAAGCCGCATGTCAAAATTTTGTTCTAAATTCACGCAGATTCTTTTTCACATTTCTTCTTCTATAAAGGTTTATGTGTGGAAAAGAGACCACAATATGGAAAATTCTTCAATTTTCTTATTTATTCTTTATTCCCATTCTTGACGTTTGCCATTTTGCAGGTGAAGCTAACCTAAAATTTTAATTTAAAAGATTTTGTGAAGCGTGCGGTTGCATCTGATATCAGAAGTTTTGTATTTTACATCGAAAATAAATAAAATTAAATAAAAAAAACACTCCAGGATTAAAGGCAAGTATAAAGTGAATATAAAAATGCAAAAACGACATTTTGCTAATTGCTTGAGCAAGGAGAAGAAAATCTATAAGGAAAACGTAAAAAAATATAAAAGGCTCTTTGAACTTGCTCATTTGAGGAAATTGGTGCTACGGGAAGTGGAGTAAGTGAATGTGCCTATATGGAAACACATGATGCCGAATGTGTGGGTAGTGCGTCCAGTGTTAGTGGGGAAGATTTTGTGCCCGAATGTGAACTAGGAGATCTAGTAGCTATGGAGAATAACCAAAAAGAAAAAAGTGTAGAATTAAAAGCATGGGCATTACGAAGCAATATTTCCCAACATCACTTAGACGATTTTGAAAATTCTCCAACAACTGTATTTGAGACTTGGGGAAAGGCAAGGACAAGAACTATATTTCGAGACTTCAAAAAAATCTAATTCTTTTCAAATAGATGTTAAAAAAGAAAGAAATTCCTTCTCTTTTTGTAAAGAATTAGGACCAGTAAAAATTGTTAAATATTCTCAAACGGAAAAAGTAGTTTGTCGAAATTTTAAAGTATTGGAAAATTTATTTGAACTTCCACTGGAATCATACTCTGGATTAGGNTAAATATTCTCAAACGGATAAAGTAGTTTGTCGAATTTTTAAAGTATTGGAAAATTTATTTGAACTTCCACTGGAATCATACTCTGGATTAGGTATTGTCTTAGCAAGTCAGTTAAGCGATGAAGAAATTGAAGTAACAAAAGAATCGCTTGAACATAAATACTTTTGCATTCCACGTCAAGGGCACTTCATACTTATTCCGCTTCTGCATCAACTTTTCCACGAATTTTCAAACTAACATGTTTTAATTTGAAAAAACAAATATATTGTACATAATATTTTTTTTTCATGCAAATACGTTAATATATATGTATATATATTATCTACAATCAACCCAGCAATGGCATCGACACAAGTAAAAGGTTCAAAAATCATGAAGCGGAAGTACGATCGTGAACATGTTAAGGACGAACACACAACACCGACAACCGACAACACACCAATTGAGAACGCACCAACCGATGACGCGTCAACCGGATTTACAGTCGATTCCGAGTACTTTGAAAATGTATTGAGGCTATTGAGAGAAGTAGTAGAGAAGCAAAACCAGCTGGAGCAAAGATTAAACAATGAAGTTTGTTTGTTAATTTTTTCATATTACTTTATATGTATTATTTATTATAACATGTATAAATGTATTATTTATAACATCTAGATGGTCACAAAAGCGGAGTTTGCTGCCCACAACAAAATGTTGTCCGAAATGAAGGTAGCAACAAAAAAATAGAGGTATGTGTCTGCAAGATGACAGGCGAAGCTAGCGACCCAATAATGGACGAAATAGCCAGTATGATGCCTATGGCGACGATGGCCGCCGTACTCGAAGTGGAGGAAAAGTTGACGGACCCTAACTACACCCAAGCTATGGTATTGACTTGAACACTTCAATCTGAAATTTAAAATTTTTAATCATGTTCATATTTCAGAAAACGTATCTCCTCAAAATAAAAGCTGTCTCTGACGACGTTGACGTTGTTGTCAAACATTTGTTTACAGACAAATTGTTATATAGTTTCAACTGGGAGGGTAAGTGACAAAAGCGTGCCCTGGCGGAGCTGACTTTGGTTGACAAAGGGCTAAGTGGTATATCATCTACATTATTAAAGATGTCTGCATTTTCTTAACTTTCTCCTTTTTCCTTTACAGATATTTACAAAACGCTTGGCGTTGCCGGCTTTGAAAAAAACATGAGAAAATCGGTTGGGCTCAGTCACAATCGATTGAGACAAAAAAAATTTCTAAAAAACTAAAAAAAATTGCCTTTTTCTATATTCTTATTATTCCTTTTTCTTATTGTTCCTGTTTTTATGTNAAAAACATGAGAAAATCGGTTGGGCTCAGTCACAATCGATTGAGACAAAAAAAATTTCTAAAAAACTAAAAAAAATTGCCTTTTTCTATATTCTTATTATTCCTTTTTCTTATTGTTCCTGTTTTTATGTAAGCTTTGTTCCATTTAACGTTTGAAAATGAATTTTTGTCTTTAATTTTTAAATTTAATATACACTTAACAGCAAAAGTCTGCATACACCATTACTTTTTTAAATTTCACAATATTTTACAAGCTAAAATTTGTTTGTTATTTTTTTTATAAAAATATCGATCATGCTTGTAACAAAATCATATTATACCAAGGTTCAAGTTTTATACAAATTATGATAAGAAAAATTCAACGATTTTACATCAAAATTTGCATTTATGTAATCAAATTTCTACTACGCAGTGTTATGGCCTTTTTTTTATTGTCGGAAAACAACGCGTGCAGAAAACAACAACATACTACATGAAGTTGATCTGATTAAAAAGTTGAAAATTGTGATTGCAATTCGTTGAATTTTCCTTAATTTTGTTTAAAGTTTGAAACCTTGGTTTATATGGCATTTTTTTAACGATAATCCATACTTTTATAAAAAAAATAACAAAAAAATTTAGCTTGAAAAATATTGTGAAATTTAAAAAAGTAATGGTGTATGCAGACATTTGCTGTTAAGTGTATCTACATACATAAATCTTAATTTAATATGGTATAAGAATCTACATACCTTTGTGTTCAAATTAAACAAAAATATAATAAAATGATTTGTAATATTTATTACAAAACTCGAAAGTTTATAAGTTTATAAATTATAATTTCTTGTATGGCAGTTATGTGTAACTAATGTGTGCGTTATGACTAACTAGTTCCACATAACATGTTTTCACGTTATACCTAACTCGTTATGCATAACATTTTCTTTCGTTAGGCTTCAATAGTTACAAATAACGTTTCTTTACGTTATGCTTAACTAGTCACACATAACGTGCTTTCACGTTATACATAACTCGTTACACATAACATTTTCTTTCGTTAGGCTTCACTAGTTACAAATAACGTTTTCTTACGTTAGGCTTAACTAGTCACTCATAACAAGCTTCCACGTTATGCCTAACTCGTTACACATAATATTTCCATACGTTACGCTTAACTAGTTATACATAACATGTTTCTTCAACATTTATAATGGGAGTAAAGAGCACAGGTATACGCTTCACATAATTTGGTTATACCTGCGTTAGGAAGAGACGAGAAATCACACGTACAGGAAACATCCTGTTAGATTTTTCATATCGCCCTTAGGAAATTAACGTAAACATTCTATGGGAGTATAACATGCATTTACGTTACAGCTCTGCGTTACATGATTGGTTATATAACGCGTAGTGTTCTTGTAGGGTACACAAGATTGTTGTGCGGATTTTCACCATCGGAATATTGCTATTAAATACAGAATTTCGCGAAAGTGTACACTTAAAACATCACAAATGAATAAAAACTAATAAATATGTGTAAAATTGAGTTCGGAAAGTACAAGTGTTTTTTGCAAATAACTCTTTAATGAATTCAAAATGAGAATTTCCGGTCTCCGATTGTTATTATTGGCGTTAAGACGCGTCGATTGATAGCACTCTCGAACTGTTTCCGTCCATTTTGACCTGGTTTCGCTAAAGTGCACTACTACCCAACGGGGCTTTCAGCATACCAATTTTACGATTCGTAGCAAAATCGAATCTACGACGGATTGCAGCATACGGGTGTATATCTGTGCCCTCTGCAATAGGTGTCCCCTCTTCTTCGGCAACACAGAAAGTATAATTCTACTTAGCGAGGGTTATAATCCTTTTGCAAAAAATACTAATTTCCCATATTTTCAAACAGCTCTCACGGGGTCTGTAGGGGGGTGAGAGGTGACTTTCCATAAACCGACGTCCATCCTCTTTCGTTTAAGGAGGGTTTGGATGACTACACCCCCTACCCCATCCCAAGGTAAAGTCGCCTTTGCCTTAGCATGTGGTACGAAAGTTTTTCGCATTTTCTGACGAACGTATTATTTTGAGTTGCGACTCTTTTGAAGACGGTGTGCGATATGTATTTATAAACTACATACAAATATTTTATACGAACTTACCTCAGTAAAAATTTTGTCAAAATCCTTGGAAATGCAATAGGCGATGATGTGGAAGCGTTAATTTTGTTGATCTACATACGTATATACTCACAGCATCAGACTTTACTTTGGATGTTTTCCGGCATCTTGCTCTTTGTGAATATCCTGCCATTGAAATACAGCTGCATTTCGACCACAGAAAAACTCAACGACAAATATTTACCGTTCGTTTATACATAGATCCACAAAAATCTAGAAAAACTTATGTATAAATACGAAGCAATCAATAGTTGCATTCCCTACACCTCAGTATATCCAGCTCAGTATATCCAGTAAACAAACTTAGCTATTTTTTTTTCACCAAGTTTGGTCCCCATAAAGGACTAGTGTTGCAAGCAACGCTTTTTCGGCAATTAGGGTGTTGTGCAGCTATTTATTGTGGTGAAAATTATTTAAGCACTGGAGAGATTTATTCACATGGAATTGGAGATAGGGCTGATAGATTTATTTTAAATAAATTGTGAATCTGCGAAAATATCTTTTCAGCAGATGAATATACTTTTTAACCTTTCTCCCGAAAATTTACATACAGGCTCGAAAATATGCGAGTAACATTCAAATATCGTCGCTTGGATGGAAAATTGCCGGAAGCGTCATTTTGACAATTTGTGGTTTTTGGATATCTTCTTTAGTTTCCGAGTAATTGACTAAAATGTTTTCGGTTATTTGGTACAAATTGCGTTAGTATTGCTGTCGTACTAAACTAATCAAAATCTTTCAAATAGAGTTATCTGTTCTTCTTTAGTTTCCGACATATTCAGCTTTATCATGAGTTTCATTTTCTAGAACCGGGTCACTTTTTACTTTTCGTTTGCGTGTATTCACTACAGGTGGATGAAAAAACTGTTGGCGAAATTTGGTTCGGGCGAAACTCACGATTAGGCTGATTAGTAAAAAGCATCGTTAATTTATAAAAATTGTTATCACATTTTGGAGTATATCATTGAAACTGACTGCAAATTTTTTTACAAATATCGTAGTCGACAAAAATTTATTAAACTCATAAATGGTTGACACTAAACCAAAAAAATAAAACAATTTAAGAATTTCATGAACTAGTACATTGCATTCTCCGACACTTTGGAGAAAATCTGTAGTCTAGTTCCTGAGAAATTGCATTCCAAACTTCAATTCTGAGTTACCGAAAGTAACTTGTGACAATCTTTTATCCAGGCGACGATATAATATTTACCTAAAATATGCATCTAAATAGATGCATAGATAATTGTCATTATTTTCGCAGTTGGAGTATATGCCAGACGAGTAACAGGTATACAAGTATACCTAAATTAGCGCTTGAGCTTGTATATTTATCTCTCTCTAACTCATTAATTCTATATACGTCAGCACCAACGCCCGACAAAGTTATGTCCGTATTTAATAATGGCCCTATGACCAAAATATTCATGAAATGTATTCGTAGATTTTTATTTACTTTCATTTCATATATTAGTATTGAGATGAATGATTTTTACTAAATACCAGGAATAAATATTTAATAAAAAACTATTTCATTTAAGCTTAACCAACTTTTAGTTGCTCGGAGCTAATTTTGGAACGCTTCATGAAATATTTTCATAGACAGTAAATGCAACTCTGGGTGCATCATTATCGAGCTGAAAAACCAAACAAATAAAAAAATTCCATCTGAATCAATATCACAGTATACCAGTAGAAAAGGTTTTTGTTGTTGTGGCTGTTAATTTGGTCCCCATAAAGGACTTGAGGGTTGCGAGCAACTATTTTGCCGCATTCAGGGTGCTGTGCAGCAAAATAATGTGGTGAAAAATTTTAACATCGGATAAATGGCGAGAGAAATATTGTTATGCGCTTTATAAGTAACCATGAACGTAATAAAATGTTTCATACTTCAATACAACTAATTAGCGCTATTTTTGCAATTCGAAATGATCTTAAAAATATTTGTAGTGAAATATGTACTTTATGAGTTAAATGGAAACTATCTTATATGTAAAAATATATTCCGATTTACTTCAAATAAATGATGTAAAATGTTTTATATATGGATCTAATTTTAATAATAAAATTTATTACTTTCATCTACATTGTTTTTATTGTAAGTTTTCACGAGTAGTTGCACTTTTCTGCAATTGTCTCTGGCCGACTATACATGTTAAAGCCAAATAATTTCACAATTTGTACCCTATTAAAGGTTTATATTTTAATAAAATGTGATCAATTATTTAAGAATATATATATTCCGATCAAACTATAGTACTGAATGCTTGACAAATAATTATTTAAATCAAATGATCAATAGTGAACGCACTCGGAGTGAATTTTGGAACACGGAGCGAAATATGCATATTAAGGGCCGGTTGCTCAAAGCCTGGTTGACGCTAATCATCGGTTAACATCGTTATCGACGTTTTCGACTCCATGCAAATAACACGGTGTCGGTAACGTCGATAACAATGTTTAACCGGGGATTAGTGTCAACCGTGCTTTGAGCAACCGGCCCTAAGACTAAATAATTTCTAACTTTCTACCATATTATACGTTTATATTTCAATGTAACATGTTTAATTACTGAAGAATATATAAACTCCGAACAAACTTCACTACTGAATGCTTGACAAACAATATTTGAATCAAAAGATCAATAGTGAACGCGCTCGGAGCGAATTTTGGAACACGATATAAATGTTAAGACTAAAAAATTTCTTATAAGCTTATGTTTTAATATAATATAATTAATTACTGAAGAATATATTAACTCCGATCAAACTATAGTATTAATTGTATGACAAACTATTTAAATCAAATGATCAACAATGAACGCGCTCGGAGGAAATTT